ATAAGCATACAAAGTTCAAAAACATAAAAATTTCCAAAAATGTCCACAATTTTGGCCACCACTGAACAAGCACTGGTGTTTTTAAAATATTTAATGGTGTTTTTCATTAATATAAATGCATAAATAAATGTATGAGTAAAGAAAAAGTTTCTTTTAAATTTCTAAAAAATATTATTTTAAGTCCATTATAAGTCTTTTGATAACGTAAGTATATCAACTTCAAATGCTCAAGTGCAGTAACATTCAACCAATCGATGGAAAATGGTTCTGGTCGACATGGGAACATCCAGAGTATCTTGCACATGCTGCAGAATCGTCATACAAGTGAATTGCAGGACCGTCACAGCTTGTCGGCGGAGCGTCGATCTATGCGTGCTGATATCACTCTGGCTGCACCTGCACCCCTCCTTCTTCCCACATTTCCTTGTTCCAACCTTGTTCGCCATAACCGATGCACAGTGCTAGCATCCATGTGGGTATCAGCTGCAATTTGACATAAGGACCAACCTGCCCTTCTCAGTTCGATCACCATACTCCTCATAAAATCGTCTATCTCCTGGAAGTGCCTTCGTTAATGGCATCCTGGCATTCTCTTTTATTACACGTATCCTTCGAGACAAATACCAGCTTTCTTCGATAATTCATCTGGCAGAAAATAACGACACGAATATTACCCATTCTGCATGTTTCTTCACTTATATCTTACTTCATGTGCGTCGGAGAGCTGCTCATTTCACATCATTCGTATAACTCAGTGACATGTGTCTACTCTAAAATTTGCATAAATTTATGACCACTCCTTTCTTGGTGTTGCATTTTCAATGTCGAGCAGTGTATAATGCTTGCCAAGCTATGGATAATAAATTCCCTGATAGCATAATGTATATGAAACAATTAAAAAAAGGGAAGAGAAAAAAGAAAATTTTAAGGTGGTTGTTTCTATAGTTCTATCATGGCAAATGCAACCTTGGCTGGCATTCTGCCAAAACACTTAGAATTGTTCAAAAGGGTTGTTAATTACTGGCCGCAAAGGGAGGGGGGTCACATGATAGTTCGCTCTTTGACAGAAAGAGGGAATTTACTATCAAAGGAGTTTAAAGTCTCATGTCATTGAGTGTTCTTATCATCAGTTGTCTTTCACGCCTTTGTTTCACATTCTCAGAGATAAACATAATGTCAGATTCTTATCCATTGTCTTTCATTTGTTTCATTTCAGAGATAAACATAATGTCATTGAGTGTTCTTATCATCAGTTGTCTTTCACGCCTTTGTTTCACATTCTCAGAGATAAACATAAAGACTGGATTTTGATTCAAAAAAAAGTTTGAAAGATTTTTTTTTGCATTATATATGAATGTAACATAAGTAGTGCATATTTCATTGTTTACTTTAAAAAATAAGATCATTATAAATAATGGAACTATGTTTTTTATCTGAAGTATTCTTTTCGCAATTAAAAAAAATAATAATAAACTGTCAGCAGGTTTCCACTGTATTTGAGCAAGATCTTTCCTGATCATAGTTCATTTAACATGACATTTACCAATATTGTGATCTTATGCAAGAATTTTTTCATTCCTTTTTTCTAAAATAATTTTCCTCCCAAAATCTAAATACACTGCAGTCCAAAACTTAAGGAAAGCATGTTTTTCAAAGCTCATGATTACAAAAATGTCAGTTTATATGCATGATAGTAATGAAGTTTAAAACAATATATGCAAAAAACAATAGCTACAACCTTGGTTTTATAGAAATGAATACTTTATATAGGAGTCAGAGAAAAAATGCAGAAATTGTAAGATTTGTTCATGAGTGTTGATCTTCAATTGTTATTAGTAATTTCATTGACTATATCCAGGAGAGTCTATCAATTACCAGGAGAAGTCGTTTGCCTGATTCGTTGAGGTGGCAGGTGGTCAGATAGATAAAAATGGGGATGTCATAATCTGATGCTGCTAGACATCTCAATGTCTCTTGTAGTGAGGTGTATGGACTATAGAATCAGTTTAAATCTGAGGATTCTGTGTCTGGAAGACATGTTCCAGGCAGACCTAGAGTTACAATTTTGGCTTTTTCTTCTTTCAGCCTGAAGGAGGAATAACATTACTGTGCCTCAGCTCATGGCAGATCATTTAGTGGCAACAGGAACAAGAATCTCAGCTACTAAGGTGTGCAGACACCTGCACAACAGAGGTCTGTATGCAAGATGACCAGTTGTTTGTGTGTACCCTTGGGCACATAGGTGCCCGTTTATGTTGGTCAAGAGAACACATCTCTTAAACCAGTCAACAATGGGCATCTGCTCTCTTCACAGACATGTCCAGGTTCACACTAGAGAGTGATTCAAGGTTGTCAGCTGATCTGGAGAGAACAATGCACCAGATACAACTAATCCCACATTGTAGATTTTGTTACAGTTACAGAGGTGGTGGAATAATGGTTTGAGCTTGGATCTCTCTCAGTGGTCACATCACACTGACCTGCATGCATTCCATGGAGGAACTTTGACCCATGTGAGATGTCGAGACGAGATCCTTGATCTATATGTCTGCCCGTATGCCACTGCTATTGGTCCTGGATTTCTTCTGATGGACAACAATGCGCGACCACACTGAGCTTGGGTTGCTGAAGAATATCTTGAGAGTCACGGTATGGAGCAGATGTAAAGGCCAGCTTTAATCCCCAGACCTGAATCTGATAGAGCATCTTTGGGACTACCTTGGGAGGCAGATTGCTGCTTAAAGTCCTCCTCCAAGGTCGTTACATGAGCTTGAACAAAGATTACCCAGTGTCTGGTCATTTCTTCCCATTTCATTGACCAAAAACTTATTTGACAGCATGGAATACCACTGCCGCCATTGTATGGTGTCTAGGGGATGCATTCCTTATCAGAACCCAGTTTTTGTTTTGCCACCCCATTTTCCTCAAAAAACTCTGATAGTTTTTCGAAGACTGGATTTCTCTGCCAAGAGTGCAGTTTTTTGTTGTAATTTATGTTTGTGTTGAACATTCAATGTCTCATTCATTAAAGAACTGTTTAGTGAACATGTCCTCTAAATTTCTAGTTTCTATGTTGCTTCATTCTCAAATTAGACACAAAAACATGCTGTTAACTTTTGGAGGGCAGTGTATGTTAATAATGCATATAGATTTGAATGCAAAAACAAAAAGAAATATAACAGCTATTTATTATAATTATTGCAATTGATGAAATAACTATAATAATCATTTATTGTCATAAAATTAATATAACTAATTGTTAAAAAAATTCTTTTTCAGTGTTTATTAATGTATATATATTTTTTGCTCAAAGATAAAAAAGATATATAATGATTGTTGATTATAGTATAATTATAATAATCATTTATTATTGTAAAGTTATTTTAATCAATTTTTATAATTATTGTAATAGAATTCATTGTAACGATAACATAATAATGAAAACTATGCAATGAAATATTTTTGCATGTGTACGGGTTCATAATAGATTGAATGCACACAGGTCCGATGATAGGTTAATAAAATTTATTTTGATCAAAAGAAAATAGAATTTTCCATAGAAATTTTCGTACATACGTCCACAGTATCACAGAGTACAATCAGTAGTTAATCTTCAAACTACTAAGAATGTTAAACACAACAAAATGCAAAGTGCATCTAAAGAGAAGGCTAACCGGGAGATCTCAGTTCACATTAAACTAACAACTCGCAATAACAATATCTAACTGACAACAGATGCTCTCCCTCTGGCCTTATATAGTTTTCACCTAGGCCGAGGTATTTCTAGCACCTTCTGCTTCTTGAAATTACTGGAATGCAATATGAGGGTCGAGTTACGTTTGCAGTTAATATAGTGATCAATTACTTTAATTCAGTTACAATACCTACTACAGTGATGCAGAGACCATACCAAAATGTTGCCAAGTTTGGCAGCTTTTGGCAATTTCTTCTCAAATTTGGTGACAAAATAAGTTGCCAAATTTGCAAGCTTGGTGATTTTTCCGGCATAGATTATGTTACATTATTACTGTATATTATTACTCTTATTACTTACTCTTACTTACTTATGGCATCTTACTACATTATTTACTCTAGATTATGCTACATTATGCAAAAAATACAACAATTTCACATACACTGCACTAAAATCATCTGTCTATGTACAAAATGTGTAACAATATAATAACAAATAATTTACAGTAATAGATATTTTATTACACTTTATCATAAAATTACGTACATATAGAAAATTAAGTTTTGAAAACATATTTGTTTAATATATAAATAAATGCATAAATTAAACACAATGTAATCAAATAGTTAATTACCTAAGAGTACTTAAAAGTAATTTTCTGCCTCTTTTAAATCTGTGCTCTTGACTCCATGCTTTGAATGCAGTAAAAATAAGTAGCGGGAAAAAAGACCTGAAAAATGCCTGCTACGTGAATAGTGTCTATCAACTCTATTTTGTAAATAAACTGGTCCTAATGGCACATGCATGTTTGTACACATGTTTGTGGCAGCCACAGTTTAACTAGTAATATCCAAATTAGTTAAGAGATTTCATTTCTTAAAATTTTAAATGTTGTACTTTGTTGTATATGTTTAACTTTTTTCTCTTTCTCTGTCTTTCTATTCTCTACCAAAGTGTTAATTATTGGGAATTTGAATTTCGAATTTTCCATCATTGTTATTTGAAAATTCTTATATCACTAGTTCAATGATTCTTGATATTTTTTATCATATATGTTCAAAAACTATTAAAGTCATTTATTATTACAAACAAAATGAGTTCATTAGCATTGTATTTTTAGAAAATCTGTCATGATTAAGCACAATCTATCATAGTTTGTAAATGTTCATGCATATGCATACTAGTAAAATTAATGTTTGCATTTCTCTTCAAGAAGTGTTGATGAATACTTGTGACACATTTTGCATTTACTGAATTCAGTACATTGTTATAGTTATATATTCTTCTATAACATTTTATTCTTTAGGGCATTTCCTGGCTGACTGTTCGATATATGCTTGGTGAAGTTCAGTATGGCGGAAGAGTAACAGATGATTATGATAAAAGACTCCTGAACACATTTGCTACGGTAACTAGAATTTATAATTAATTTTTATTGGTTTTTAATTAAAATTAATTATCAATACAACTTCTAACATTTTCTTTTACACTTGTATTTTGCATTATCAAGAACTTTTTATTATTATTGATAAAATAATTAATTAACAATCCATCTTCTTACATTTTCTTTTATGCTTGTATTTTGCATTAGCAAAAACTTAGAATTGTAGATTAATTTTATCAGTTATACGTATTGACTGTACTGTATTAAATCTTAATTTTAATTACCCTTTGTAGTTTATTTACAATAGTTAGTCATATAATTACTTCCTATTATAGGTGTGGTTTGGTGAGCATATGTTTCAAGATACATTTGCATTTTATGAAGGCTATGGGATACCAAAATGCACTACTATTGAGCAGTATATGGATTATATTGACAATTTACCAGCTACTGACACACCTCAAGTTTTTGGATTACATCCTAATGCTGATATCACGTAATGAAATTTTTATTTTTATGGTGCAATTAAAAAAACATATGTATATATATATATATATATACACACACACATACATATCCTATACACTTTCGTAGACATGGTCTCTTTTGTGAACATCATGCCTACAAAAGCTGTTACCTGGCTTTTAGTTTTACAACTCTTGTTCATAAACATATACTACCAATTACAAAAACTTTTAAAATTTTGCAAAGATTAATGTTTGTGCAATTTTTAAATTTAATTAAATCAATTTTATAAAACTTACAAAATCTAACTTTTTACATGTTTCTGTTTATCCCTGCTTTTATAATAAAACACAAATTGTAAAAACATTCATTATTTAAATACTCACATTCATATTGTAAAAACACTCAAATTCATAAGACTCATTAACACCATCATTATAAAAAATAAAACAGAAAAAATTTGAATCCCTATCACAAAATTGACCAAGGTATTTAATTCCAAAATCTGCAATTTTTGACATCATATTCAGTTTGCATTGAGGAGTTGATTAGTAAATAAATAAGTCAATGTTGATAGTCTCATACTGAAATAACACATCTTTGTTCTCTCTCTCTCTGTACTTTTTATGATGCTTAGTAAGCATCACCAACAAATTATGCTATCACAATGGAAGATGTCATTGTTATCAAAAGATGAACGTAATTTTATTGCTTTGTATAAACTGCAAGACATTGATTCAGAATTTTGAGCAAAATACTGATTATTTGGTGTTTAATCAAAAATTTCTGTAGAAATCATAGCTATGTATGTGTTTAAAGTTTTTATTTAGTTCAATGTCATAGATTACTCTTTTTGAGAATTATAACTTCAGTATATTCACATCAGCAGAAATCTACATTCTAATTTTAAAATAAAGAATCATTTGACTTTTGTAATTTATAAGATTTTACACTTAAATTGCACTAGTTTAGCCCATGGATAAAGTGTGAATTTACTTTATGAAGAAAATTATGAATATCAAAAACATTTGAAAAATCAATATATTAATGGAACAAATAGGTAAATAAAGAGGCAGAGTCAAAGAACAATGCAGTGAAACCTTCCTAAAATAAACACACATAATTTCAAACAACTCTAGTCTTCTATGGAGGTGTTTGCCTTAGAGGACATATTTGTTCAATACCAGTGCTTATTTAGTTTTTCTAAAATACTGCTCACATTTTGAGATGGTCACCATGAGAGACTTCTTTAATTTGCATTTATTTGAAAAGTAATTTTTTTTTTATTTTCTTTTACGACTGTAGGTAGAGTACGCATCAGAAATACCTGCATGTTGATGAAGTATCTATGATAAATTACTTAAGTATGAAATTTTTAAAAGGAGGCCAACAATTAATAATATGGATAGTTAGAGTGACTATAAATTCATTATCCCAGAAAATCACATGCATGTACAAACATAAAGAAGTATGTGATATAATCACCCAGCTATTAAAATAATCAAGTTGGATAGTTTATTCAAGACATCTACATTTTGCATCATCAAACTGTGAAGAAAATAACACTGAAATAAAACTACAGTATTCTTTACATGATTAATATAGGTATCTGATAATTATTTTCATAGTGTAATGAATTATACAGAATTTTTAAAAAAAAAAAAAAAACTATACCCATCTTAGCCCTAATATTTATTTTCATCTAATAGCATTATGTCCCACTATATTTGACTATATATATATATATATAATATATATATATATAATTATTTTAAATAACTGTATTTAAATATAACATGAAACATTCTCCTGCATGTAAAACTTAAGACAGATATATGTGAAAATGCCATTAAAAATTGACAAAAGCAAAAAAGAAGGGTGATGCGTGTATGACAGATTTATTGATATCACTAATCTTTTGTTATTTTTAAGAGCTAGCTGTGCTTTTCTTTAATACTTACTAATGCTCTGTGAATATATTTAAAATCATTAAATTTTGTATTGTTCTCTACCTTCTTTGAAATCAAGCATGAAGTTTCCCTCCCCCCATCTTTGTCTGTTTTTAAACCTTTAAAATGTTTTATCTGCAATCTAATAGTTTTCAACCCTTTCAAAGGCCAAGGTAACCTAGAAAATCCTTAAATTTATCTGTAATTTTTAAAATAGTACATTTAATCAAATTAGTTTTGATGTCAGTTATGTTTTAAAGTACAAAAATATGTGATTAAATAAGCACAGCAATTATATAAAAAATAGATTAAATCTGTTGTTTAAGATTTAAAAAAAAAAATTACAATTTGTTTCTCTTTATTTTTTAAATATTACAAGTGAAGTTTTTCACTCGTAATGTTTAAAAATTATTATTTAATGAAATAGATATCAAAGTAACACTACGAAAGAAGTGCTTGAGACAATTCTAAGCATCCAACCTAAAGATACAGGTGGCGGAGTTGGAGAAACTAGAGAAGCTGTTGTTTATCGCATGGCTGAAGACATGATGTCAAAGCTACCAAAAAATTATTCACCTCATGAGGTAAATGAAAAAATATTATGAAATTTAAATTTAATTCATTGTATGAAAACAATATTGTTTTAAAAGGAAGATGTTCCTATAACTATTCCTTTCAGAAGTGTAGATTTTCATTACCTGAAAATGCTTTTATTTTTTTAGCAGAGAGGGATAATCCTGAGTCGTCATTTGTTAAATGTTTTGATATTAATGACTAGTTTTATTCATCAAAAAGGAAAAACAGCCAAGAATAGAATTTTGAAATACTTACACTTATATATGTAGATATAAGATGTAGTTATCGAATGAGTGTTGAATGATTTTTGAATAGTGAATTCACTACAGCTGAATAAAAATCTCAGAATTATTGTTGGACTTATGTGCATGTTGACCAGAGATCCAACAATAAGGCATTGCAATTAATTTACTTTCATGATATGATACAGGTGAGCCTTTGAAATGGAATTAAGTGGGCATTATTGTTGTTTGGGAGTTGCTTACATTAATCAGTTATTTTATTGACAATTAATGCATTAATACTTTATGGAAATGCTTTATAGTATTAATGAGTAAATGAAAAGAGTTGAATTCATTCAAATGGAATGTGATTGTTGGAATCTGTATGTTTCATAATACACCAGGCAGCTTTTGCACAGTTAAATATGTCCCAATTTACTAATTCAGAAGTCAAACAACAAAAATCAGCGTTATATTTACAAAATTTCACAGGACTAGTTTCGATGGTTTTACCGAACCACCATCTTCAGCTGCAAAACCGCAAATGAACAAGATAGGAAATAATGATTAGATAAAGATAAGAAAGCATGGACAAGAATAAGCAAGTGGCGCCATCTGTTGGTGAAACCAGAACTAAAACATAATTTCTCTAAAAGCCGAAGGCAAATTTGGATTGGAATTAGGATCGTTAACTAGAACAGAAAGATTTTTATGAATGTGGAAATGCCTCTAGAAAATCCAGTTCTCCAATGGAAGATGTTTTTTGAATAATTTTAGCAGCAGAAAAATTGAAAGTGTGATTTTCGGACCAACAATGTTGAGCCAACAGAAGACTTTCTGTGTTTTCCTTTTTCTAACATAGCCTCATGTTCTTTGACACGAAATTTTAAAGGCTCTCTTAGTTTGGCCAATGTAAATTAAACCCCACTGGCAAGGAACCTATAAATACCCCAGGAATTCATATCCGGAATGGGGTCCTTGAGTATAGAAGTCCGAATTTTATTGATGGGAGAATAAACAACCGAAAGTTAAATTTCAGCAAAATATGTGCAACTTTATAGCTAATTGATGGAAAAAGGGAATGACAACAGAATTTTTATAATCTCTCTAAAATAAGAGTGTGGCTTTTAGTGTGTTTGAGATGAGAATTTTTTAACTGCTTGATTAATAATGTTGGGTGAAAAGCTCCTGTCAATAGCTATTGCTTTTAATAATTTAGTTCTTCATCAAGGGTAGTTTGGAGGAGCAAACTTGAAGAGCACGGAAAACATAGGAATAAAATGAAGCTAACTTTGTTTAGTCGGATGACATGATTTAAAGTGTGGTGGAAGGCAAACCGATGAAGGTTTACAGTAAACTGTAGTACTGAAGTTGGATGTGTTAACGTGTGACCAGAATGTCGAGAAACGAAGAGAATTGCAAGTCTCAAGTTCAAAAGTGAACTGAATAGCAGGATCAATAGAATTCATTGTTGAAAGAACTTTATTTAAATCATCTTTATTACCTTTCAAACAGGGTAAAAGTATCGTCTACGTAGCAGAAACCATGCTGGGAAGTTTAAAAGTTTCAAACAATTTTGATTCATAATAATGCATGTAGATATCATCCAGGATGGGACTGAGGGGGCTTCCCATGGCTAATCCCTCAGTTTGCTTGTAATATTTATTTTGGAAAACAAAATGTTTGTTTCAAACAGAGTTTGAGTGAGAGAAATTAGCTCATCAATTTTCGATGCAAGAGAAATGAAATTCGCGAAGTCTGGTTCTAGACATCTTAAATGCACCCTCCACTGGGACATTGGTGAATATGATTTTACATCAAAAGAAACTACGAGTAAATTACTAGGAGAAATGTTTTTAAAAACCTTTTTTAACAAACTGTATTGAATTTTTTATGGTGTAATGTTATTGTCTAATAGAGTGGAAAATCTAGAAACTAAATATTTAGCTAATGGATACGAGGCAGTACCTAAATTTGATACAATAGGGCGGAAAGGGAACACCATTTTATGAATTTTGGGAAAGCATATAATCTGGCACAATTCGCAACAGATGGGATAACGAATGTTTTAAGTTGCTTGAAATGATTTGCGAAGATTTGATAGCAGTTTTTTTTTGGACAAGTCCGAATGTGAAGGATCTTTAGGGATAGGATTATATGGTCCTTCGTTAAGAGTTTAGTGACACCATCGATGTAAGTGTTCTTATCCATGACAACTATCTGGCCACCTTTGTCGGCCTTTGAAATGATAATATCCGGGTTAGAATGAATTTCGCGCATTGTAGCTTTCTATATCGCAGTTTAGATTTGGTTTTCAAAAGGTTTATTGAATTTCACATTATGAAGCGATAAAGATGCCTAATCATTTCTTTCTGTGAATCTGAAAAACTTTCTGAACTTGAAAGCTTTTCGATAGGAGCCAAAATCTTTGGAATCGAGGGTTTACAGGTTGGTGAGAAGTTAAAATTATATTTTAGAATTCTCTCTTGTTCTTCTGAAAGACTAACATTAGAAAATATTAACTATTGGCTTGATGTTTACAATGGGAAGATTTTTTGAACTACTTGAAGTGGAAGACTGTAAAAGAAGTTTTTCGAATTTAACTGCAAGGGTGTTTTTATGACGGTTAACTGCATTCTCCGTTCTAGATCGTGTGGCCGCCATTTTGGGATTGTAGGAGTTTCGGTGAGTACTTTTTTGCAATTTTCAAGTTATGTTTATGTTTTGTACATTTGGATATTGTGCTTTGCTTGTCTGATTTCATGTATTTTGCTTACAAAAGTTTTGTTTTCTATTCATTTCAGTGAGGGATTTTTCTGCAGTTTGTGTGTACTTTATTATTGCTCAGTTAATTTAGTTTGATTTTCTGCATTGTTTATCATGCCTTCATCCGTTAATCGTTTCACTAATTTACGCCTGAAACGGCAAAAATTCCTGCATCATCTTGACTTTTTACTTAAATGTAAATGTAAAGAATTGATCCCCAATTTTATTCAAATCAAATCTAATCAGAAACCTTTGAGTCGCGTTTCAAGAATTCTGTTAAATTGCAAGCTTGCCTTACTTCGGTTCGTGATAAGGGATACACGTCAACAATTGTCCAAAATTGAACATGAACTCTATAAGATTCATCTGGAACTCGCTAAATGATATCCAAAATTCACTGCCCTTGAACAAAAGTCTTGGTCTAGAACGGAGAATGCAGTTAACCGTCATAAAAACACCCTTGCAGTTAAATTCGAAAAACTTCTTTTACAGTCTTCCACTTCAAGTAGTTCAAAAAATCTTCCCCATTGTAAACATCAAGCCAATAGTTAATATTTCTAATGTTAGTCTTTCAGAAGAACAAGAGAGAATTCTAAAATATAATTTTAACTTCTCACAAACCTGTAAACCCTCGATTCCAAAGATTTTGGCTCCTATCGAAAAGCTTTCAAGTTCAGTAAAGTTTCAGATTCACAGAAAGAAAAATGATTAGGCATCTTATCGCTCATAATGTGAAATTCAATAATAAACCTTTGAAACCAAATCTAACTGCGAGAGAAAGAGCTACAATGCGTGAAATTCATTCTAACCCGGATATTATCATTTCAAAGGCCGACAAAGGTGGCCAGATAGTTGTCATGGATAAGAACACTTACATCGATGGTGTCACTAAACTCTTAAACGAAGGACCATATAATCCTATCCCTAAAGATCCTTCACATTCGGACTTGTCCAAAATAAAAACTGCTATCAAATCTTCTCAAATCATTTCAAGCAACTTAAAACATTCGCTTATCCCATCTGTTGCGAATTGTGCCAGATTATATGCTCTTCCCAAAATTCATAAAAGTGGTGTTCCTTTCCGCCCTATTGTATCAAATTTAGGTACTGCCTCGTATCCATTAGCTAAATATTTAGTTTCTAGATTTTCCACTCTATTAGACAATAACATTTACACCATAAAAAATTCAATACAGTTTGTAAAAAAGGTTAAAAACATTTCTCCTAGTAATTTACTCGTAGTTTCTTTTGATGTAAAACATTATTCACCAATGTCCCAGTGGGAGGTGCATTAAGATGTCTAGAAACCAGACTTCGCGAATTTCATTTCTCTTTGCATCGAAATTGATGAGCTAATTTCTCTCACTCAACTCTGTTTGAAACAAACACATTTTGTTTTCCAAAATAAATATTACAAGCAAACTGAGGGATTAGCCATGGGAAGCCCCCTCAGTCCCATCCTGGATGATATCTACATGCATTATTATGAATCAAAATTGTTTGAAACTTTAAACTTCCCAGCATGGTTCCGCTACGTAGACGATACTTTTACCCTGTTTGAAGGTAATAAAGATGATTTAAATAAAGTTCTTTCAACAATGAATTCTATTGATCCTGCTATTCAGTTCACTTTTGAACTTGAGACTTGCAATTCTCTTCCGTTTCTCGACATTCTGGTCACACGTAACACATCAACTTCAGTACTACAGTTTACTGTAAACCTTCATCGGTTTGCCTTCCACCACACTTTAAATCATGTCATCCGACTAAACAAAAGTTAGCTTCATTTTATTCCTATGTTTTCCGTGCTCTTCAAGTTTGCTCCTCCAAACTAGCCCTTGATGAAGAACTAAATTATTTAAAAGCAATAGCTATTGACAGGAGCTTTTCACCCAACATTATTAATCAAGCAGTTAAAAAATTCTCATCTCAACACACTAAAAGCCACACTCTTATTTTAGGAGATTATAAAAATTCTGTTGTCATTCCCTTCTTTCCATCAATTAGCTATAAAGTTGCACATATTTTGCTGAAATTTAACTTTCGGGTTGTTTATTCTCCCATCAATAAAATTCGGACTTCTATACTCAAGGACCCCATTCCGGATATGAATTCCTGGGGTATTTATAGGATTCCTTGCCAGTGTGGTTTAATTTACATTGGCCAAACTAAGAGAGCCTTAAAATTTCGTGTCAAAGAACATGAGGCATATGTTAGAAAAAAGGAAACACAGAAGTCTTCTGTTGCTCAACATTGTTGGTCCGAAAATCACACTTTCAATTTTTCTGCTGCTAAAATTATTCAAAAAACATCTTCCATTGGAGAACTGGATTTTCTAGAGGCATTTCACATTCATAAAAATCTTTCTGTTCTAGTTAACGATCCTAATTCCAATCCAAATTTGCCTTCGGCTTTTAGAGAAATTATGTTTTAGTTCTGGTTTCACCAACAGATGGCGCCACTTGCTTATTCTTGTCCATGCTTTCTTATCTTATCTAATCATTATTTCCTATCTTGTTCATTTGCGGTTTTGCAGCTGAAGATGGTGGTTCGGTAAAACCATCGAAACTAGTCCTGTGAAAATTTTGTAAATATAACGCTGATTTTTGTTGTTTGACTTCTGAATTAGTATTTATTCGGCGTGTTATTGTGTCTTAATGTCCCAATTTGTTATGACTGAATCTATTGTAGAGTGAAAATATCATGGAAAAAATGTATACTTGATAGGTCCCCAAAATGATAGATTTTTTAAAATCTGAAGCACATTATCAGAAAAAATAACCAGACAGCCTTAGGAACTGATGAAATTTATCTCTGTCTTAATTCAGGAGTAGAAGCCAGTGGAAAGATTAATCATCGAAAGAAAACTACTAATATTTTCATGGATGTGTTTCTTCTCAGAGTCCAATGATCTCATTTCCATCACCTAATATAATTTGGAAGGATTTAAATATTACTTCATGAGACTGTGAATAAATGGAAATGAAGAAACATTATAAAAATATCAAATTACAGTAAAAGCTCGACTATCTGGAGAGCATCGAAATGGCAGAATTCCATATGTTGAGACCATAAGAAACAAAATTCACATTATAAAAGCCAATGGGGAAAATTTCCACTCTAAAATTATAAAACATTCATCTTATTTATTATCAACTTCTAATATAAAAAATTTCAATATCAAAAGCCTACACTTAAAATTACATAAGATTTCAGGGGGAGGAGAACGCATTTCAATCATAAAGTTGACGTATTTCCTAGGCTTTAAACATGAAAGTAAAATATCTGATCCGATTATGAAATGCCACCAAACATAAAAGTTGGCGAATATGTCACCAGTCATTCTGGCAGAAGTTTAAATGACTAGACTGTTCTTTATTTAATTAGATAATAAAGGGGTAAAAATTACGGATATAACACATAAAAAACTCTAATTGCTTACCACAATTTTTCACATTACATTGCCATTTTCAAAGTCGCATAGCATGGCCTTTTTTTATGCCCATGTACTGTAACTCAGAAAATACTCCACTTCATGAAACCCCAAATGTTAATCATTTTTTTCAAATGGGAGACATAAATAGAACTTCTTTGCAAAAATTAAACCGGCTTAATGAAGAATCAGTCGAATTTGCTTTAAACCAAAACTGACTTCTTATTATTATGATTGTATTATAAAGTCATGCATATCCATGTGCTAAATCAGACTATTTGGTGACAATGTATAAGTATTAACAGTATTGTGAACTCTATAATGGCATTACAAATCTCCCATTCACTAAATTTTGGGGGAAAAATTGTATTTCTAAATTTCTATAATATTCTGATTAGTTGAAAGTCCTATTCTGGTTAGTTGAATAGTCGGCCCTTTATTGTGTATTCATTCCACTAGATAGTACAAGTGTTCATAAAACTAGGTCTATATTTCAGGGTTAAAATACAACTGGTATGTTAGGAATGGTGACCTCAGCTTTGCTGAATATTTTCAGAATTCATTGAGGTGGCAGTTGAAAACTTAGCTTATTCAATCCATAGTCATATACGAAATGTCAAGAACAATTTTCTACAGCAGTTTACTTTAATGTGTAAAATCCTGACTCAGTCACAAAACTAGTCGACATTTAAAGAACTCCTATTTATAATTGATTAAAATACCCTTTCATACTAGTAACTGGATTACTTATTGTTTACGTTAATCCAAATTAACTTCTTTCATTAACATTAACTCTTAAATCAGTCTTTAAATAAATTTTAAAAAGAGCTGAAGGAATTCCTCCTAGTAATAATACTACTCTAAATTTCAAGAATAGCAACAGAAGCGTATCCATCGATTTTTGGTTACATATATTCCTCTTATTTTCAAAACTGATTTGTTACTTTACACTATTTTTATATTTAAAAATATGTTGTATGTTTTATTGAGAAGTAATCTGGGTCCATATTAGTTAAGAAAATATTAATTTGTATTAATTATATCTGACTGGGGAATGGGGAATAACCATGTAATGAAGATTTTAATGTGTTATAATTATTACTTACTAAAACTAAACTCAGTTTCGCAACAGCCCTAGTGGGCCAAGGCCTCCAGTGCCCAATACCTGCTTTCTTGACCATGGGCCCCAGGGTGCATGAGCATATGACCTGGACAAGTCATCAGTTTGTCGCAAGCCCCCCGGTGCTTAGTACCCAAGCGAACTTGGTACTCATATTATCAACCCACTCAAGGGATGAAAAGCTGAGTCAACCTTGCCCAGCCCCGTAATCGAACCCTAGACCTGTGGTGCTGCTGTGCAACGCGCTAGGCACTGGGCTTCACGTACTTACTACCATGTTAAAATTATTTTGGTGTTGTTAATTTATTATTTTCTATAATTATTACTTTTTATATTCTTTATTATTATTAGGATGATAATTATTTTTTTATCATCATTATTAGAAGGTTTAGTTTTGTTATCAAATATTTTATATGATTTTAGAAACTGACTTTAAAGTCAATAGAAGTTTTAAAATCAGTTTTATATAAATTGCAATTCAAGAAACTTTCAAATTCATCTCTGGAAATCATTGTTCATGTCAGGTCAAGGAAAGAATTAAAGCAATGGGAGACCCTGCAGCTCCAATGAATATATTTTTAAAACAAGAAATTGACAGAATGCAGCGTGTGATCACTAATGTTAGGTCAACACTGACAGATCTAGAATTAGCTATTGATGGGACCATTGTTATGAATGAGGTAATCCATCGATGGAACTATTATTGTGTGAAAAATAAGAAATTGATAAATGTTACGAGTGCAAAAATTTCCTATTTTTAATGTTTTGAAATCTCTACAAATGTTATTTGTTTGTAAATTTGAATGCCTTCTGAAATTCATTTAATTAGTGATTTTATACTCTCACATTTAAAATAACATTAATAATTAAGACTTAAATTTGTTTTTAATTGTACTTCATTATTCAAATAAGAAAAGCATTTTTTACATAAACTGTTGTAATTCAAAAGTTAGTACTATATCTGTAACAGTTAATTAAGATTTTTTCGTATTTATTTCAAATAATTAAAAATTGATTTTAGAGGCTTACCTATAAAAGTATATTATATTTGTATTTTTTAATTTAATTAATTTTGATCATTAAATGAATCTTACTATAATGGATGATTGTTTTTCGTCATTATGAAAGTAATAATAGTAAGTAATAAACTGAAATTTTGAATGTTTACTGATATAAAAAAATAAGGATAAAATTTAAAAGAGTACAATATGAAAAGTCTGGTTATAATTATCAATGTAAGAGAAGCAAGTTAACATGAACTTTAAGACAAGGTGGAAAGAATCTTGTCATATTTATTGCTTTATTTATGAACTTAATTCTGTGACTGACATAGCTGTTTATATTCAGTTATAAGGTTTTTCTTTTTAATTGTCTATGAAATGTTAGCTGCTTTAATAAATTGAAATGTATTCTTTGATATATAGATCCTAAAAAATAAATGTGAAAGCAAAATATGATGCTTTCTGATTTTAAAATGTAAGAAAGATCCATAATAAGACACTTACCTTTTTTTGCATTGTTCCTCCCATGTATACAGCGATCTGTTTTAGCTTTAAAAATTGTTAGAGAATTCCAGACACTTGGCATCGCACATAACTTAGTACTGCATGCACCGTTGTTTAGCCCAACAGTGGCCGAGTGGTAAAATCACTGAACACTAGTAGTTCAGTTTGGGTTTCGAACATTGGTGAATGGGCTGGCTGCATAGGCATTTTCGTGGTTTCCCTATGTGTAACATGTATATGAGCCAGTTTCTCTTAGAAAGTCCTCCGCGAAGGTATCCCTCCCTTAGGCAGATAGCCCTCGAATGTTTTGCCGTAATCAAATAAACCAAACCAAACCATATTGTTGCTCTCCCCATAGGGTTGGTACGGTCCTTAAGAATCCTTAAGTTTTTTAGAATCGATTTTTGGTCCTTAAAAGTATTTATTTTCGGCCAAAATAGGCAGAATATCCTTAATTTGAATCATATGAAATTTCAGTCTGTTTCTACGACTGCCATTTTGAGTGTGAATTAGCATTCTGGAGGAATATTTCTGGCAATTTGCTGACAAATATCGTTGTATTTTGAATGGGTGAAGGCGTTCATGGGTTATATAATTTGTTCCTATTTGTTCCTATAAATGGTGGGATAGAGTTTCTGAGCAAGAAGTGAAACAAGCATTTCGAAATTATTTCATTTTTTTTAGTGAAGAGCTCTTAAGCAACTTTTCGCTTTTGAGGATGTGAATTCTTTTATTAAAATGCTCTAAATTTGGTGATTTTAAGATGAGTTCCTATAGGAAATTTTTAATTCCAAGATTTGGGAATTTTTCGACAATTTTTTCAGAACATTGTAACATTGGTAAATTTCATTAAAATAATGGTAATATGTTATAATTATATTTAAAAAATAACATTAAAATAAAGCATATAAGATATTTTTCCCCGCTTTCCTAGCATGCCTTCGTGGTGTAGTGGTTCTGCACGCTGGGCTGGTATTTCAGAGGTCCGTGGGTTCAATTCCCGGCGAAGGCGTTGCTAATTTTTCATCTTGCCTGCTTCCAAAAAAATACCTAATGTCTCTACAAGCATTTTTATTGTTTTGCTGTAATATTATAAAGTTCCATTTTGTCCACTTATCATACAATATTTTGAATTTGGAAAATAAGCTAGGTATAGTAGATATAGTGCTATAAAGCACAATTTACGAAACAGTTCTTAGCAAAATAGCTATGTAATTAATTAGTCTTTTTTATTTTTTCATGGTAAGAGTGTTCCCACGTAATTGTCTCAGAATTCTCAGAATATGCGTCAGTTTTCTCTATAAAATTAATTTGACGCTCTTTTCTTCCGTTTTTTTTTTCACCCAAAATATTTCTGGCTTTTTGCTGTTACCGAATTGGTAGGGGTAATTTTTGTTTCGGATTTTAGGCATTGCAGCTTGGAAAGTTTAGAAAGATTTGAAGACAAGATTTAAAAACTCACAATTCTAAAAGATTCCAGAAAAATGTGACAAAATGAATGTCTCCATGGTATAAATACATAATTTCCTACTTTTTGGAGAACGTCTGGAAGAACAATGAAAACATAATAGTTGAATGTTTTACTTCTGATACTAGAAACCTTTTCTTAACATTTTTATATTCCCTTTATTTTCTCTACTTTTCACTAGACACAGGCATGGAAAATTTCAAAAATGCTTCTAACCTTATCATATGGACAGGCATTGTAGAAAATATTTTTTTAAATAAAGAAATTGAAAACTGACAATTTAAACGATTCATCTAATATGTCTTAATGCATCATACACAGGGATGGCGCTAGGTAGTTTCTCACCTGATGAAATCTCTGTGGATCCTAAATTCTGCTGCCTGGTGCCTTTCTAAATTATGCTTCCAATGCCTGTTCTAAATTCTAAACGTTTTTGACATTTCTCCATTTTGTTACTCGATGTGTCACTAAATTCTAAAAATTCTGCCACATCAGCTCTGTAACCCGACCTTACCATATATATTTCATATTTCTTCTGAATGTTCATATTACTATATAAATAAAATTAGAAGCTTTCTCTATACATTCTAAATGCATTTAGTGTTTCTAGAATAACAGAAATCTTTAATTAAATCCAAAAATTCTAAAATGAAAAGGAAACGTGGAAGAAAGAAACTGAATACATTAAGAGAAAAGGAAATTATTCTTCAAAGATATGTACAGATATTATTATGTAAATTACCTAGTTGTTTTTAATTTCAGCCTTTACTATAATTTCCCATTTCTATTTTCTCACCAGAATGCAAGTTACTTAGACAGTTTTTAAGCTGAGGTTTTTGGAGTGTAAGACAAGAGTGTATTTCTGACCTCCACTTGCTCCCCTGCATTAGTTCCTGCCAGCAGCTCTGTTAATTTGTAATTATTCTTCTTTACATTACTGCTGCCAACATTTGAATTTTTTATGACGATAGAGTTACTTAGCCTGCTTAAAATGAAATTAAATTGTACTTTGATCACTAGTCCATATTTTTAGTTTGAATTTGATTCTTCTTGTTTAATTACATCACCACGAGCTGTAATTGATTTTGTTAGCATAAGAACATGCCATTATGTTCTAAGTTCTTTTTAAATAAGAAGCTTATTTAAACCTGTATCTGACGTTGTAGTTACTTTCAGACATAGTGATAATTTGCTTCACATCTGTCTGGAGGGTTTTGGACTGTTTAGTTTTTACCAGATCAAGTAAACCCTTATAGGTACATTTTGGAGAAATTGACAGGTTAGGAGATAAAACACACAGAAACTAGTGAGAACATTGTCTTGCGCATTGAGAGTAAGTTCTAACTGTTATAAAAGTTGCTTAAAGAGAAGGAAATTGAAATAAATTAGCCAAAATGTCTGGGAAGGCTTCAAATTAAAAAGACGCATAAATATTTGAGTGTTGTTGCTTACAAAAGATAAACATTTTGTTGCTTTTAATGTTTAATTATCCTAATATCCTTTAAGAATCAATATCATAAATTACATGTATTTTAAACTGTTAAACTTTATTAGATTGTGATTTTAATAGGGATTTTTAACAAATATTGTTAAAAAATTAATAAAATTTAATAGTGCCCATGTAAATCCATAATGACTAAGATTATCTAATACCTAATTTAATTACTTATAACTAACTGGTTACTCTTAAAAATTATCTCTGTATTTTAAGGAGAGTTATTGCCTTTCATTAACGCTTATCGTGGTCACTAAGATAAAACACCAAAATGTTACAATTCATGTAAAACCTATTCTTCGCATCTAGTGAGACTTAAAATAATGCAAAAGAACTTATCACCTCTGGTGCTTTAGTGGATTATTAGGACCTTAATGTATATTAACTGAGATACAACCCCTGAAACTCTAAAGAAGCTACGACATTAACTGCGTCAGACAGAGCCCAGCTAACTTTCAAAACTTGTGAACTGTGCTTATATCAGCCCTTTCAGGTTTGTTCTGATCAGCAGGTTTCTCTCTAGGCAAGCAGAAGCAGCGACAACAGCCAGTCTTTTGTTTTTAATCATGCTGATTGTGATTTTACTTTCCATTTTAACCTGTGCCCCTTGACATAAAATCTACTTATTATTTACTAAACCCCTAGACTGAGCAAGTATGTGACAAAATGAGACGTTAAAAAAAAAAAATCAATGTAAAGCTCACCGTTAGTAAAACCTAAATAAAATGTCACTTATCTTCTTTCAAATATGTCTAGATATTATGAGTGTAAAATATTTAATGCTACTTGATAAATTTCATTAAGTTTATTTTATTCTCAAACTTATTAATAATTATGTTAATTATGTTTAATAATAACGCATCTTACTTATGGATCTATTTTATTTTCAGGATGGTATTACAAAAGTGAATTTCCGCATAGATAATATTTTTAATTGAATTTATTCAGTTTCCATCTGCTTATAGGTCTTTAATTTTTTTCATTAATGGTCCTTAAAAGTACTTAATTTCCGTGTGCAGAAATGTGTACGAACCCTGAATATCTCAGTTATTAATAGCACTATAATAATTACTATCAGAAAGTGTTTCATTTTTAAAAAAGAATTCTTAATTGATTAGCAGTAATATGTCTTTTAGTTACTTGATGAAATTTTGTCTTAGTCATTTATGTTTGCTTAGTTATCTATGTCTGTGACAAATCATTTTATACTATGTTTAACAGATATTACGAGATGCCCTGGACAGTATTTATGATGCACGTGTACCACATACATGGCAAAAAGTTTCTTGGGATTCAAGTTCCCTGGGGTTTTGGTTCACAGAATTGCTTGAAAGAAACACTCAGTTTTCTAACTGGATATTTAAAGGCAGACCTAGTTCTTTTTGGATGACAGGATTTTTTAATCCACAAGGTAATTATTTCCATTCATTAAATAATTGTGTTATAATTAACAAAGTTAAATGTCATAAAATTTGTATTGTAATTATGAATTTTAAAGAAAAATATTGTTATTAAAACTGTTCTTTCATATTTGATCTACAAGGGGTGATCAAATGAAAAGGTACGAAACAACGTAAAAACATAACAGTTAAATATTTGCATATTCCGCCATGGGAGAACATAGCAAGACATCTTGGGATGCGATTGGAGTCTCTGACTGTGATCAGAGCATGCGTGGGGGCCCGCATGCGCTGGAGAGAGCAGAGTCTCTTATCAAAAGCGGCGTCCAAATGATGCGGCAGTCCGTATGAAGACAGGATGGCGTTCGCGTTGCAAAATTTGACGACTGAGGAGCAGCGAATTGTTATCCGATTTCTGACAGCGGAAGGTGACAAACTGGCAGCTATTCATCGCCGGATAGTGAAGGTTTACGGGGAGAAATGTGTCTCTGACAAGTCTGTCAGAAAATGGAGTGCCCGTTTTCGTGCAGGCCGTGAGAGTGTGGGTGATGACCCGAGATCAGGCCAGGCAAACACTGACATATCGAGTGATCTCATCGACAAGGTAGACGACCTAGTGAGAAGTCATCGGCGTGTCGCATTGTGAATGTTGGCGGTGAAGGTGGATGTCAGCTATGGAACCGTGTGGGCAATTGTTCACGAGAGGTTGCGATATTAGAAGGTGTGTGCCGCTTGGGTTCTGAAGCAGCTCACCGACCAGCAAAAGGAACTGCGTATGGAGCACTGCAACATCTGTTTCGGTATCAGGAAGACCCCGCTTTCATGGAGCGGATCGTCACAGGTGATGAGACCTGGTGCCATCACTACGAGCCAGAGACAAAGTGGGACAGCATGTAGTGGAAGCATGCATCGTCACCTTCCCCTAAAAAGTTCAAAGCCGCGCCGTCACGTCAGCAGGCAATGTGTTTCTCACTGTCTTTTTGACGTTCAAGGTCCACTACTAGTGGAATTCCTCAAGCACAGAAAAACCATTAACTCCGATGTGTACTGTGAGACACTCCGACGCCTACGTAGGTCCATCAAGAACAAAAGACCGGGGCTGCTCACGGAGGGTGTGGTTCTGCTCCATGATAACGTGCGTCCACATGTCTTCAGAGTCACACACATGGAACTGGCCAAGTTCAAGTGGGAGACGTTGGACCATCCGCTCTACAGTCCGGACATGTCGTCCTGCGATTTCCATGCATTTGGTCCACTGAAGAAACACCTGAAAGGGACGCGCTTCAACTCGGATGACATACTGAAGGACGCTATGAAGGACTGGGTCTCGTCACGGTCACAGGAATTCTGGGAACAAGGAATCCTGCGGCTTGTTCATCAGTGGGATCATTGTGCTCAGGCCTATGGTATATATTTTGAATAAAGTCTACATTTGGACCCCCCCCCCGTGTCGTTTCGTACCTTTTCATTTGATCACCCCTTGTAATAAAAGTGACCGGTGTCAATTGATACAATTTCTTGCAGTGGATTATAAAGAAAAATACTAATTTTTCAATATGCTAGAGGAAAAAATATTTATAAATACAAAACTTATAGCTGAGTTCATTTATGCATATTTCAGGTTTTTTAACAGCTATGAGACAAGAAGTAAGCAGGGCTCATAAAGGATGGGCTTTAGATGTTGTCACATTGTGTAACGATGTCACTCAGCTTACACGAGAGTCAACAAAGGATCCACCTAAAGTATGTTAATTACATGTGGGAAAATTTAAATTGATATGTCTTTAACTTTTAATTATTCATCATGTGATTCATCATAAATGACTGAAGAGCATTCTATGATTCTTGCTTTTCTTCATAATTGTTCTTCACTAAGATAGCTTGTCAACTTTTTTTTTTTTTTTTTTCCAAGATTTCATAGTCTTATTCCATATTCATCTCACTCCATATTCTAGTACATCTCATTTCTTTTAGCATGCCAAGAATGTATTTTGTATAATTTTGAGATTTTTCTCTTGGATTATTTGGCAAGCTTCATACAGATTTGTTAATTTTAATAAATTAAAAAAATTAAAACAACTAATGACCAATAATTTAAATGTTATCTGAAATGTTTATCATTGTAATCACTTCCATAACCTCTGAATGCATTTCAGAATATGATAGCATAAAATTCCTCCCGTATTTTTGTTGTTGTTGTTGTTACTAATCTCCATGCCTAGGAATATACTAGATAGACGAGGTCCACGAGTCCATTCACCTTTTCAGAAAATCGAAAACAAGCTTAGGAGAACCCGTTAAAGGTCCTCAAGAGACAACTCCAGGCACTCAAGGATATGTGCCGGTGATCCCGGTGCATTTGACACTTTAGAACAAATTAGGGTGCATCTTGAGACCTCTCTCAAAAGTAAGTCCCCTTCAGGTGTCCACTGAAGAATCAGGAAAGTGTTGTCTGAACACATTTATCGCAATCAATAGCAAGAGGATATCATATAATAGATTTTCCAGGACAATCACCTTGATACCAGGGATGATTCGGGGAAACGAGCCAAATTTGCCTGTCAGCATGTCTTCTAATGAAATGCATTTCAAGATATGTCAGTGAATTGATAATTGTCAAAGGTTCTTCAGAAGCCTCCTTCGCCAGAATGTCTGCCATTTCATTCCCCCATTTATCAATATGGTAAGGAATCCACTGAAGATGCACTTCACAGAGTGACGAGACCTGTCCAAGTTTGCTAAGAATTGCGGCTCCGGCCCTATCACCAACTCTCTGCCAGTTTGAAAGATATTTGATAGCGCTATGACTGTCAGACAAAATCCATACTTCCTTAAGATCTGTAAAGTACAAAACAGCATTTAGTCCCTCTTCGATGGCTAAGCTCACTCTTAAAAACAGAACTGAAGTCAGAATTTCTTTTCTTTATTTTAAACAACATTTCCATTTGTGCATTTAATGACAACACCACTACCGGAGCGAGAGTCCTCTCTTTTACTCCCATCAGTATAGATGAGGGTAGCTTCAGCGGGAATTGCATGTATAGTTTCCAAGGCAGATTGTCATAACAGGGCCAGAATATAATTTTTCTTGGAAACTCGAGACAAAAGTTCCGCATGGAACTCGACTCCAGGGAGTCACTCAGATGGATCTAAACATTGTTTCAAGGAATGCTGCTCAACATTACGATCAATTATACCAGCATACTCAATTTGACTATTTTTCTTTCGTTATTACTCCAGTGCTGCAAAAATTCTGAAGTTCTATTCTGGGAGCCGTAATTGAGAAGTTTATTATAATATTTTACAAGGCCTGCATTTCTTCTTAAACTGAGAGGTTGAAGGTCTATTTCATACAATGCAATTTTATTCAGGCAACTGTTGCGCAAGCCAGTTATAATGCGAGAAGCACTGAGTTGGACTCTTTCCAATTTCTGGAGGTTGGTGGAAGAGGCACAACAGTAAACGGGGAAACTATATTTCAAAATAGGTCGTATGATAGCTGAGTAAGTAGTTCTCAAAGTGCAAGCGTTGGCTCCCCAATCACGTTCCGAGATATATTTCAGAATGTTTAGGCGTTTTCTGCCTTTAAAAACCAGCGCATCCACATGTTTGTTACTAGTGATCTCTGGATCGAGAACGAAGCCCAAATATTTGGGATGTTTGTCAAATGTAAGAGGCAAATTATTCATAAAAACCTTTGGATGATAATTATAAATCTTCTTATTGTTTGTAAAAAAACTAACAATAGATTTAGTTGGATTAAAACTCAATTTGTCGTCTTTCGAGACTTGTCACACTTCTTCAAGGATAAAATTTATATTGGTCTCAATTGAACTCACATCTGGGCCAGAGCTCCAAAGGGCAATATTATCTGCAAATAGACCAACCTCACATCTCCTTGATATAATCTTCTCAATTCCAACCAAATACAGGCAGAAAAGAATTGGGCTCAACACAGAACTCCTGGGGGACGCCTTGGCTCAATTTAAAGGCGTTTGACATAGTGGAATTAAACTTTACTTTTATCAGTCTATTTCTTAAGAAATCTGCGATCCAGATCAAGGCTTTACCCCTGGTGCCAAAATCTTCGTAGAGTTTAACTATTAGTTTATGTTTCCAGACACGGTCAAACACCCTTGACAAGTCTAGAAAAACAGCCACAGTATGATTGGTAGGTCGCTTGTTTTGGGCATCTCTAATCTTCTGGCTGAGATAGACCAATTGATCAGTGGTGCTATGACCTTTTCTGAAACCATATTGTTCTTTTGGTAGGAGGTCGTGGGTGTCCAGGTGAAAGAGCAACCGCCCCATAATCAATTTTTCCATGACTTTGCATGCAATGATGGTTAGGGCAATGGGTCTAAAGCTCCCAGGAGATCCATCAGTTTGGCCAGGTTTCTCAACAAGTATAATTGTGGCTCTTTTCCACTCTTTAGGAAGGCGTCCTAGACTCCAAGATTGATTTATTATATGCATGAGTGCCAAGATACCCAATCATCTGGCCATGGATACCATCAGGTCCAGGAGTTTTGGTCAAGTCAAGATCCTCAAGTGCCATCTCCAATTCATGCATGGAGAAGGATTTAAAAAAAAGGGGATTGCCCAAGACAGTACTACGACATCCATGTGCAAGATCTTGAGACCTTTTTCTCATTTTTTTATCAACTTCTGTAAAAGTCATTTCACTTATCTCCTGGTAATGTGCTCCTAGGAGATCAGCCGCAGCTTTTTCATCTATAGGGATGTTGCCATCCGTATCTAAGATAGCATTACATCTCTTTATCTGAGGTTGTTCACTAATAATATTTTTGATCAATTTCCACAATTTCGTGTCAGATGATCTAGCATCAAGTCCCTCACATATATCCTTCCATTTTTTTCCCTCTTTAGTAGCACATAAGTTCTTTTTATTTCTGCATTGACTTTGTTTATCTCTTTCCTGTTTTGCTCCGTATTATTGTTTTTCAAACTGAGGTTTTAAACTGAATTATCAAATTCTGTTTTCACAGTCATTCTGAACATTGAATTCTAGTTTTTAATCCTGTAATGAGAAAGTAACGATCCAGATCAATATTTAGATATAGTTAATTAGAAAATTTCAGATTAGAAATTTTATTTTAACTCGGATATTTTTTTACATTTATAATAGACGTTTCTATGGACAGAATAGTAATAATTTATTAAATTTCTTTTTCCTAGGAAGGTGTTTATGTTTATGGTCTTTATCTTGAAGGTGCATCATGGGATAAGAAAAACAGTATACTAGTTGAACCTCAACCTAAAGTATTATTCACAGCTTTACCTGTTGTGCATGTGTATGCTACAGATTCAACTGATCCTAAAGACCCAACATTGTATCAGTGTCCAGTCTACAAAAAACCAAGGCGAACTGATCTCACTTATATTACTCCTCTGTGGTTAAAAACTGTTCTGAACCCAAACCATTGGATTCTGCGTGGTGTTGCTTTACTTTGTGATATAAAATAGCATTTATGGCCAGAATTCTGTCACTAAATTTTGACTTCTTTTCCTTAATATGCACCAGAAAGGATATTGTTTAAAGTGTGAAGAAATTTTTTTTAGCTTCAAAAAAAAGTTTATGAAATGATATTGTTTTATGTAACAAAATAAATTTTTGTTTTAAGAACATTAATTTCTTCTGTTCATTTATATGTATTAAGTTTTCTGTTCATTTATATGTATTAAGTTTTTTATTTCAGATTTTTAGAATGTTGTAATAAAAAGACAGATGATCCCATTTCAGTAAGGATATTAAAAAGACAGATAATCAAAAGATTATGATTAGTTAGTTTCCAATCAAAATTTATCCTGTGTGGTTATTAATTGCTTTAGTTCATATAAAACGGACCAAGAAGCAAACAAATATGTTCAGACTGTCATTATGAGTGGCAGAGTTTTGTACTTTATAAAGTTATGTTTTGAAATCAAACAGAAAATTATTATGCACAACTACAATAAGAACTCAGATAAACTTTGCTTGTATGATGATTAAAAACCCATGAATATTCATTTGGAAGCTAAACACCACTTTTATTAAATTTGAAAATCAGCTAAGCTTTGAAAATTAAGCACTTCAAATTTTTATCACTTTACCTAATGAAGGAAATCATCTCTTCAGAAAAACTGGTTAGTTAATTGCATTTTCTTTTTGATAAAGAAGGAAAATTGCATTGCTGAATGAAACTGTGCATCAGATTCCTGTGGTCAAGTATGTCACTGCCTACCCAATATATTAGAGGACAACCTTTGGATAAATAAAGATCTAGCAAAGGCAAAACTATGCAGAGAATGTATGAGAATGCATGGCATTACAGAATCATTACTGAAATTCATGAAAGCTATCAGGCACAGATCTAACTAACCATACATTCTAGACTTAAGCCTTATGACAGAAAGGTACAGAGCTGTAATGCACTAACTATGTGAAGGGAAATTACTTAATAAACTAATAAAAGCAATGGCAAAGAAGGCATTAGATGACATTAAGTTTTACCACTTCTGAAAGAACTTCATTTTATCCCTATTGCTATTCATTTCATTGTTAATGACATTTCATAGTCAGTAATGGAATGCTTCTTCTGGAAGCTGGAGTTCTATCAAATCATTACGAGCACTGCCACAGTACTCTCCTGAACATAGGGACCTATACTGAGAAAAATAAATTTATTGTTTTTCTGATAGAGTTGGTGTTAAGTAAAGGCATCAGTACACTCCTAATAGGAGGAACCATGAACTCATTAATATGGCTGTGAAGATATTATCTGAATATGCATGAAAAGTAGTGGATTCTTTCTGAATTGCCTATGAAGCATAGTCTTTAAAATGTGTTTAAGTATTATGCTTGTAAGTTGACACTAGTATCATATCCAGTTAAATGTATTGTTTTTGCATGGCTGGATTAGTCTGTTTCTGGTAGCTAACCAATTAGTTTTTAGTAGTTAAAATGTTACCCATTAACATCCAGTGTCAGAACCCAATTTATTTTAACTATTGATTCTAGTTACTAGCAATGAGGACGAAATTTTTTGGCATAATTTTGTAATTCTGCCGGCTTTCTTGCAATGAACTTTTAATTATAATCGATGGCAGCTGCAGGTAAGAAATTTCTGTGCAATTTTCCGATATTTTTACCTATTATCTAGCAATCTGATTTCACTTGAAATATCGGAAAGCTGCACAAATTCGGTATTGCGCACTTAAATATTATATATACTATAATATTACTGTTATCACAAAGTGCTTTCATGTCAACGTTTATATTTCGCGCTGAGTTGCGCCCCATTAACAGAAATGTAACAGTTTTTTTAAATTTCAGTATCGTAAATCATTCTACTGTAAACTGTAATAAGTGCCACGATCCATTAGCGATGCTGGCTGCTGTGCCAATGAGCCCGAATTCGAAAGAAGGCATGTATGTTAGTAAGGGTATATAGTGTCTGTACGGTATCAGGTGCTCAAAATACTGTTTAGTCAAATGTCTTCTCAAGTGATATGGTGGTTGGTTAAAAGTAGAGGAAGACCTTCGAACTGCTCCCATCAAAATTCGGGTGGAGGTGTACAGTGGGACTATACAACCAGTGATCAAATTTTGGTGTCCTGCCCACTTTGTATTTATACCTGTGCCTGCCAGCTATAACTGGATAATGACTCGAAGAACTAGTTGGCATTCAAAATACAGAAATTGTATTGTATTTTGAAAGTTATTTTTATGTTGTATATTGTTTGTTGAAAATGTAAAAGCCAAAATATAATTTCTATCATTTGGTACTTTATCTACAGTTTACTTTTTAATAATTTGAAATAAAATTTATAAATTTGTACAAGTTATTGGGTTATAAATAAAAAGTGAGCAAGTTGCTATAAATATTTCTGCATTTTGTGTTTTAATGAATTGTGGAAAATCAAACTTGTAGTTTGTACATCTAATTGTATTTTTTCACAGAATGAGTATCATGCTGCAAGCTTAGAGGTTATATATATGTCTTTCCTGAAAAATAAATAAATAGATAGCTCTATCCAAGTTCTATATCTACTTACCCTTTGGTGCACTACATCTGCATCTGCTATTTTTTGGAGAGAAATAGATGAAATCTTACGAGGTCAGAAAGGTGTTCCATTCTGTTTAGATTATTTTATAATTACAGGCAGAGCTGATGCGAAATATTTAGAGAATTTAAATTTTTATTCCTCTACAAGCAGCTAGTAATAAGCTACATCTAGCAAATTGTGACATTTTTAAACCATCTGGAAATTCCTGAGTCATCTGACTGATAAACATGGGCTATTCCAGTTGAGTCTAAAACTATTACAAAAGCTTAGTGACATATTACAGCTAATTTTTGCATATTATGGGCAACCTTATTAATACCAACGTTTAAGTAACTTCTTCTTCTTCTTCTTCTTCAATGGCCAGACAGCCCAGGATGGGCCGTTGCCTTCCTCAGAATCGAATTCCAAGCTCTTCTATCCCTGGCCATGGACATCCAAATGGTTGTTTTTAAAATTCTTAATTCTGTTTCCAAACAGCCGAGCCACCTAAGTTTAGGTCTCCTTCTTTTTCGGGTGCCGAATGGTTGGCCGAGAATATCTTTTTAGTTACTCGATTTTCATCCATTCTGCACAGGTGTCCTGCCCATTTAATTCTCTGAATCCTTATATATGTGGGAATCGTGCCTCAACGAAGCACCAGATGTCACTATCTATCTCTACTCTGTAGGAACTCTCCAGGTAAACACATCTTCACTTGGTACGGGAAGTCCGACAGGAACGGTCTAACAGAACGCTCGCGAAGGAGCTACAACTAGACACTTACTGGTCGCGCGTAGGCAATCAGACTTGGAACTTATCTAAAGTGACCGAACGTAGGTGGTCAGCTGTGACTTTTACATCTCCATACTGGAAGCAGTGTTGATTATTCTCCTAAACATATTTAATCCATTTGTACATACTCATTCCATTTATCTTTTCTTCTATGAACCAGGAATAAAAAACCTGATACTTTGAATCGTGAGTGTGATCTCTGTTTGATGATAAGACGTCACCCTCACATATATTTTACTATATCTATTTCTTTAAAGGATTTATTGAGTTCAGAGTTAGTTGTTCTTCTCCAGATATTGTTACATTTTATGCCATGAAAAATGCTTCACAAACTTTTTCTTTCAAAGACAGAAATGATACTTTTAGCTTATTTTGTCATTGCCCAGGTCTCAGCAGAGTATGTAAGAATGGGTCTGATTAAGCTTTTTTAAATTAAAATCTTCGTTTTTCTGCTAGTGAAAGACTTCAAGTATTTTTTTAGACCGAAAAAACATCGGTTAGCATCTGTGACTCTACTACGGATCTCGGGCATTAAATCATTGAGAGTATTAACTTCTGATCCTAAATATTTAAATTTGCTAACAGTTTCAAATTTGTAATTCCCAATTTCAAAATGGGGACTGCTGGTTATTACCACATGGCATGTATTTATGTTGGTTCATTGCTAGATACATTTTGCTGGCTGCAGCCTCTAGAGATGTAAAAGCCTCTCTAAGTGACTCGGGAGTGCGTGCGACTATGTCAATATCATAAGCAAACGCAAAAATCTGAACAATCGTCTTAAAGATAGTTCCACGAATATTAATGTTGGAGTCTTTTATGATTTTTTGGAGGGCATGGTTAAAAAGCAAACAGTCCAGTACATCACCCTGTCTGAGCCCATTTGAAACAACAATAGTCTCAGAAAGATTATTCTGGATTTTAACCCTAAGTTTTGTCTCAGTAAGAGTGATGGTGATCAAATTTTTAAGTTTTTCAGGTATTGCAAATTCTCTCATAGCTTCAATTAAATATTTTCTGTTTATTGAATCGTAGGCAGTCTTAAAATCAACAAAAAGGTGGTGCCTTGCAATGCCGTATTCATTAGTTTTTTCCAAAATTTGCCTAATGTTAAAGATTTGTTCTGCTGTAGATCTTCCTTTGTGGAAACCACATTGCTAATCACCTACAATATTTTCTGTATAAGTTACTAGTCTACTAAAAAGTATATTGGAAAATAGTTTGTAGAAAACACAAAGGAGACTGAATCCCCTGTAGTTGGTACATTCCAAAATGTCTCTCTCTCTCTTTTTTTTTTTTTTTTTTTTTTTTTTTTTTTGTATAGGACAGATGATGCTCAGTTTCCAGTCTTCGGGGAAAACTTCTTGGTTCCAAACTGATTCGATGAGGTGGTGTATTTCCTCATTATTTTGACCTGCATCACTTTTAATGAGTTCTGAAGTAATTAAGTCAGGGCCTGGGGCCTTTTTATTTTTGAGCTTTTTAATTCCTTCTCTAACTTCTGCCAAAGATGGTGGCGGAATACTATCGGTGTTTACAGAGGTAGTTGGGTAGGTTGAAAACCCATCCCGTGTATGGTCATTCAACAAATTACTAAAGTGCTCATTCCCACCTCTGGAGTACCTCTTTTCTGTCATTTAGGATGATGTTGTTTTTCTCTCTACAGGCTCTACAGTTCTAGGCTTAAAATCTTTGTGGCCAAGATTAATTTCATGATAGAAAGCACGGCTTTCATTGGATCCCCTCACATGTTCAACATCCTTAAATAGATCGTCGTGAAAAAGTCTTTTCTTAAGCCGGTGGATCTTCTCC